AACACGTGCAATTGTAGTCTTAATTGCCAGCTATTAGCGCCGTGGGCGAACAAAGGCGTCGCTGCGGTCAGCTATCCACGATTGGCCAAACCACAGGTATAAGAGCATTGTCAGGCTGTCAACTTCGACAGTGCTAATTTCGGAACGCGATGGTGCTTCCACTGTGCTTTCTAAACACGCCACTGAGCTTGTCGTCGCAACTGATGGTAAGTAGCCAGGGTAACAACCCTTGGACGTCAGAACGAAGCAAATCCTGGACGTGACGTCACGGATGAAAGCCGTACGAGTGCGCCACCGAAACGTTTCGGCGCTAATATCTCCCCGCCACGACTGACACGTCCATAACGTCACGACCTGTCAGTCGTGGCGGCCAAGACGTCACGACTGACACCAGTCGTGACGTCTTTTTTTGACCTTTTGGGAAAATAGCAAGAGTGCGAGTGCATAGCTTTGATCGGCGCTCAAGATGCGCGAGAGCAGCAGAGATTACGAAAACTAGGGCTGGGTGTCGATAAAAAATTTTAGCCCGATTAATAGACACCTTTTTGTCGATTAATTAATCGATTCATCGAACTTTATCATTTCCATGTAAAATAGTGAAAAAAGCAAACTGAAATTACATTTTGTTGCCTTTGCTGGATATGTGATAAACGGCGCAATGTACAATTTTAAGTATTAAATCAACCTAGATGTGTATTCTAAAATTGTCAAAAGACACCTACACCCTCGGATTATTACTTCAACAGCAGAGGCAAAGATGTGTTGTTTTTTTTTTGTTTTTTTTTGTTTTTTTTTTTTGTCTTTACATACTTTATTTTGATACAAGTGTCAAGGTTCGTAGGTATTCTCCTGCAATACCGAAATCCTTTGCTTGTTCACAATAGCCTCTGCTGCGCTAAACGAACACTCGCACGGCGTTGAAATGGCCGGGACACGTAGAACCTTATTTACTTGTTTAGAGTTAGAAATCCCGCTCCCAGAGATTACTTTAGTTCAAAATTTCACCTAAAGGTTGTCTTCGTGCAGGTGTACTCGCCCACGTCTGCGCGGTGAAAGAGTTACATTTTTACTTTTTTTTTCTTCAAAATTTAACCGATTATCCGGGTAAAAACTTAATCACGAATAAAGCATTAATCGATTAATCAGTAGGTTAATCGATCAAGTGCCCGGCACTACCGGAAACTCATCTTATGACTTAACACTCCAGGAAAGAGGCGCTTCCGCGGTGCTTTGAAAATTATTTCTTGCAGATTCCGTGCACCAAGTTGGAAAACAATCTCGATATTCGCGATCCTGGAGGCCAAATGAAGACTACTTAGGTGTTTTTACTCATATACAGAACCGCTTCCAGTTTCCCTATTATTCATAGGGTGGATTAGGCCATACCCCACAAATCGACAGCAGTTCGCAGATGTCAATGGCACTTTTTCAAGCTTGTTTCGCGTGCAGTATTGCACAAGGCGCTGTATTGGGATATCTGGTTTTTTAATATATGTTAAGAGTGTTTTCTTTACCGATTGAAACGAGCGCGTAAAAGTCGGGATATTTCCAGAGGATTGTACAATTTATGTTACTGCTTCGTCTCTAGACGACCAAACAGATTTACACAACACCCTATCTCGTATATTATCACGGCGTAATGAAAATATGATGATTTACATGATGATTATTACCGGAAGAACAATATACACGCAATCTACATCAAAGAAAACATATTGTACTTTGATTACGAGCTTGAGGGTGCTAAGCTCACCAAAGCTGATAAGTCTCAGTACGTGGGTGGGTTTATCACGAGCAATTTTAAATGAAGTCAATATCTGGGTTGCAAAAAGTCATCTAATAATAAACTCTGGTGTTTACGAAGGAAACTGCTTAGACCACCGCCTGCTGTTAACTTTTTTGCGTATAAAACTCTTGTCAGACCAACAATGGAGTACGCTTCCGAAGTTTCGGGTCCTTGGCATATTTCCCATTTTCTTAAGACAATGATAGAGAAGATGGGGTAGAAAAACACATGTGAGCCGGTGAATGACATCCATAGTAAACCCGAGACATAGGAGTAATTAAAAAAACAAAAATAACAACAAATTTGCGTTTGAGACTTTGTTCAGTTCCTTTTCTTTATTATTATTCCTCACTTTCGGGTTTATTGTAGATGACCTTGAAAGGGTTCAGTCGCTGGGGAATCATATAATATTTTTTCCAGACTTTAGGACGACGACATTAGTTACAGTGCTGAAAAGAACAACTATCAGGGCAATGGTGTTGCATATGTGAAACCCAGGGTATCGCTAAGCGTTTGTGAAGCTAGAATGTTTCACGCATGCAACACAATTGCCAAGCAATGTGCCATACATTTTTGCCAAGTGTATAGCAGTCTCTCAAAAATTGACAGTTCGCAATATTAAAAAAAAAAAAAAATTACTATTCAGAGCGATCAAATCGTGCAGAAGTGCTCGCCGCCATTGATACCCGCATCAACACTTCTAAACGTTTTTTTTTCTTTTTTGTACAGGGATTAGATTTGTAATAATAAACTTCCAGGTTTTGTCGCTACTCCACTGCAATTCTGAATTTGATAATGCTTTGTGTGTGCTTTGTTTGGAGAGTAAGCTTGTCACAACGTGTTTTCTTTGCTCGCCCCTGTTGGAGGAGATGGGCTTTTAATTATGACATATGTTAACGCTGCATATCACTTCTTTCTTTAAGTTGTCTCGCTTGTATTTTCCACTCCTCGAACATTGTGATTCATTTTTCAGAGTGCTTATCGGTTGATGCCACAGAATTATTGGCTGCTGAGCAATATTTATTAATTTATTTCAATTAAACGTGGCGTAAGATGCTTGGGAGCCGGCCAGCCCCTTGTTTCTTTAGTTGTCATTGTCTATATAGTCAAGGGACGAATGAAGGCAGGATCTAAAATAGTATTGACATTTTTGCCTTACGGATCTAAGAATGAAGAATAACCAGGGATGTGAGGAAGAGTGGTTCGAATCTACTAGCGTTGCGTCACTCGTAGCCTTCAGTGTGCAAAGAAAAGCCACAACATGTATACAGACTGACGTTACAGCTATCGAGATCACACTACGCTATTCGATTCGAAGCGATTGCACAAACCCTTAAAATTATGTACGCGGCGCACAGATGTAATTTTATGCCGGTCTTTTGGTTATTGGATGGTTCACGTGACCCGCAATTTATACTAAAATAAATTTAAAAAAAGAATACTTCCAAACAACATGTTGCTGGTCATGGTAGAACTTTGGGATTTGGTTTATGAATACAGGATCGACCACCAGTCCGTTTATATACTTCTATATCCTCGTGAGAATAAATATTATTGACGGCTCGTTTGTGTGATATCCAAAAAAGAATTTTAATTGTTAGTAGGAATGAATAAACACATATAAAGGATTTTACTACACGATACATGATAACTTCGTATCAACCAACTTTCGCAAAGCCAAAACTTCGCGGTACAGATGAAAAAAAAAAAAGTACGAATTCAAAATAATGTGGATGATTTTTGTCAGTAAGTTTGCAGCGTCACAGGAAACGTTTTGAAATTGTGCGAAAAGCAAGAATATACCTGGTCTACGCATCAGCCCTGTGGCAGACGGGTCACTCAATTTAAACGTTAGATTTTCTTACGCGTGTTCGTGTATCTGGAAGTTTTGCTTCCTTGATTTTCAAATTTTATAGACGTGAAGGCTGGTTACATTTATTTCGCATCCCATCGATGGTACCCATAACCGTATACATTGTGTTCGTTAGGTTTTTGCTGCGGATTAGTGTTTATACATCTACGTTTCAGCGCTTGCATGCTTTGTCGCTATATGAAACATGTGTGCATTAGATTTGCAACAGTACCCCCTGCTTTCTTTCTTTTTCCTCATAGTATAGCCGATGTCTTAAAATCGCTCAATACGCCAATATACTTGTTTCTTCTTCTAAAGGTCAGATATTATGCCGAAATATGTGTCATATCTTTTAAACGACATTTTGTATTTGTTTTAAAATTTCTTCTTTGCCGTTTTTGTCGAATTTAAAGCCTCTACTGTACTGAGTAAACTGCAAATGTACTGGTAGTGACAGGCACAAGCTCACTCTACGAGTAGTAGATGTTGTTCCCTACTAAGTACAAGAAGTTTATTACGTGAAAACGGTGACGTGAATTCTGCAGGGAAGTAGTAGATGTTGTTCCCAACTAAGTACAAGAAGTTTATTACGTGAAAACGGTGACGTGAATTCTGCAGGGAAGCTCATTCCAGCACTCGCTCATCTCTACGGAACAAAAGCGCGACGGGCTCTGTTTTCTGGACACGCTTGCTCGACTTGCAAGCCCAGCTGCCAGTGGTGCCGTGACACTGGAAATCGCGGGAATTTCTGCATCTTCGTTTTGGCCCCGCTTTCACTAGCCAATTTCTTAATGACCATTCAACATTTTGAGATAGTACTCAGCATGCCGGAAAAAGTGAAGACGAGGCATTAAGAAAATATAGGTAATTCGAGGCGCTAAACTCCGCAGAGTACCCTTTTAAAGGTGTTGTACAGTGAACTCTGAATCAGACTCCTAACTTTTCCCTATACTTCATTTAACAGGTATGAATACAGGCAGATATAAAGTAGCGCCAGTCACGAGGAGGGAGGGCTCCCAACGTTCTACCGTTGGGTGAAAAACCGTAAGGGTTTTTCACCTATCTGCCTAGCCCCGCACACCACCACAGGTGCCCATTCCAGTATGTGCAAATAAAATTATTATTATTATTATTATTACTGCCATTAGATTTTGTTGCGCTTTCAGCTAAGTACACGACGACGATTTATTCGCACAATGAAGGCGTTTCCATACGCGCATTTTGGATTTTTAAATTAAAGAGGTGACAATTTCTTTTCGCATTTCCATCCCTTGACTTTCTTTATATTTATAACGGCCGCTAAAATCCTTGTTTATTAAATCAAAACAGTGAAAAGATATCTGCACATGTAAATAATGTTACTTACTTTTTCTCTATTTCCTTATACGTAGTATAATTAACCTGTAACCATAGTTCGCTCTCACTTTGCGACAAAGCTTAAACAAGTGTGTGCATTATATCTCGCCCCAGAGAAGTTTGGAGCACCTTCATTTTAACGAATATATTCATGAACATTAGTTTCATTCGAGTTCCTATAAAATACTAGATAAAAAATATCCCAGAATATTAAACATGTATTGACATTGTGTTAAACCGTTGTCCAGTCATTGTAGATCCATGCTCTCACACACACAAAGGGATTCTTTGGGCAGCACCATTCACTACTTACAGATATATATATATATATATACATATATATATACCACTCATCTTCAACCGCGTGACTTTGCTAACACAAAGTGGGGCATTCCACAATCAAGTCGGCAAAGGGGATGACACAACTAATGCGGCAGGGAAGGAGCAAACGCCTTCGCGTCAACAAAACGTGTTTTCTGTCTTTTGGTGTTCAGTGAAAGAAGTCGTATCATAGATTTCTTTGTCATATTTATCGATGAAAGTGTTCCTCAGAGTGCCCATGATACTTTACATATATTTCGAGTTTCGTGTCGTCATCCCATTTGAAAGAAAAGGGGAGGAGGGAAACCATCAGCTGCCGTTTCTCGACAGGTGGCTTTTGAAAGAAAAACGAAACATAAAGCCAGATTTTTTATTATCAAATAATGTTCCTTCAGAACCCTGATAATTTTGTTTTCATAAAAGAATCTATGAGCATGCTTTAGCGCCGTGTTGTCAGAGGTCCTTCGATTTTTTGTTTTCTTTTTAGAAGTTCAATTCTCTCTTAGCACATTCGACAATCAGTGCCTCTATGTTTCGTAGAGCCTATGAATGCCGCTCAGTTGTTATGAGATGACTATACAAAATAATCATATTTCAAAAAGTGAAACACTCTAGTGATTTCGGGGGTTCTGACAGGCAAGAGTATGACATTAAGTTAACACAATCTGTACTCTCCCAGCGTACCCTCGCTCAGCCATTTTGTTTTGTGATATGTTTCCTTTGGTTGATATTGTATTTTTGTTGTTTAGTCGAGTGACGTACTAATTATTATTCCTCATTGTATTCTATATTTGTGTGTTCTTGAAATCGTCCACCATAGACGTGTGGGTTTTTGGAATCGCCTGGATCACCATCCGCAGCTTTTTGTCCTTGTCTCCCGTTTCAATTTGGTAAAAAATAAGCATTATTATTATCATTATTATTGTAAGTAGTAGTATTATCATTACTATTACCACTTCTTAGCTATTGAGATTGCAGCGCTAGCTGATAAGAACGCCCAAACACGAATCCTCAGCGTGAACAGGGTAAGTCACCCCTGGCATTTCTTAAACTTGTGAGTGACTATAGTTTTAAATAATAAGTGGCGCCTTCTCAAATATTTTTCTTTCAAAGGCGTTGAATGCCTTCGATAGATTTTCGGAGGCTTTGGGTATTTGTTCAGAGGCAGCAGAAGGAGTCACGGTGGGGACCTAAAGCTCACGAGCACAATGCCACATTCCCCACCAGCCTCGGTCAGGAGCGATATATAAAGGGCAATGTTTTCTAAACTTCAGCTAACATTACAAAAAAAAACAAAAAAACAACGTTGTTATTAGTTTTATTGTAGTTCATCAAGCTGTCCCCGATTACGCCCTGAGCCATGACTCTGTAGTCTCAACTGAAACTGAGCGAGACCACGGACTGTGTATACTAAAGAACCTTAGTTGCAACAAGCACGTGGAGTGCCAAACTTGCGCCGCATGTTCATTCTCAGTTCGATCCTTTCCGTTCCTTCCATGGATGGATGGGTATACTCGTCTAAGCACTTCTGCCTGATGTAAGAAGTTAGAGACCACAGGCTAGCGGTCGCCTTCCACTAACCATGGTTCCTCTCCACTGCGTGCACACCTACGCAAATAATGCATAACTACAGGTTGGCTGTGACCTCGTCTGGTTTCAAGAGCTCGATATCTAAACTCGGGAACGTGGCAGTATACCTGAATTATTCGTTTTACACTAGAGGCGTATGCTGAGTTATTGATTAGACCTAGAATTGGAAAGAAAAAAAACATATAAACACGATTGCTTAAAAAATAAGCCGAGAAGTTGGAGGAGACACTTAAGGGGTGGTGTAGTTAGCAATTTGCAGCAGTGTACCTTACGCGCTCTTATCAATGCAGACTATAGCACCCTACTGCAGTTCCTTTGTTTGTTTGTTTTTTTGTATGAAGAACTGAACGAATGGCTGAATGCCTAAGAGGTCTTACCTCAAGACGCGCGTCGTGTGGCTTGGGCCTCGCCAGGGACGAGTAGAGACCGAGCAAGTGAGCCGCGGGCAGGCTGGACAAGGACTGAGGATCGTCGAGGAGAGATCCCGAGGCAGCGGCCGCCACAGCCGCCGCGTGCGCTGCCGCGTAACCCGGTGGCAGTGCCGTCTCCACCGACTTCAGGAACGGACTGAGCAGAAACGACGACCCGGTCGCCATGTGCCGGCAGTTTGGGTCCGCCGCGCCTCCCGCGTACGGCGAGCCACAGCCGCAGGGCATCAGGTAAGACAGCCCCGAGTAGAGCGAGGCGGGCGACCCGTACGGGGAGGCGTAGTGCGACGGCACGAAGGCCTTGAAGCCCGGCGTCGGGTCTGACGTTGGCGTCGTGGACGTCGATGACGTCGGCGGAGAGGACGTCGCCAGCGGGGACGGCGGACTCAGCTTGCGGCCGTCGTCCGAGGACGCGGCTTCCCGGTTGAGGTCGTCCTGGTGACAGGATGACCTGGACGAAGGCCGAGGGACGGGGGACAAGGGCGGGAGTCCTGCGCCCATGACGGGATGCTGCGGAAAGGGGATCGCGAGGCGGGGGTGGTGGGGAAACAGGGACCTGGGGAGACCCAGGTAGTCGCTCGGGCTCGGGATGTAGGGAAGGGCGAAGGGAAACCGGTGGCCTTCCTTCTTGAGCATGCTCTTGGGCTTGCGGCGCGGCTTGTACTTGTAGTCCGGATGCTCCTTCATGTGGAGCGCGCGCAGCCGCTTGGCCTCTTCTATGAAGGGCCGCTTGTCCGTCTCGGACAGATGCTTCCACTCCGTGCCAAGCCTCTTGGAGATCTCCGAATTGTGCATCTTGGGGTTCTCGAGCGCAATCTTGCGCCGCTGCGCCCGCGACCAGACCATGAAGGCGTTCATGGGCCTCTTGACGTGCGAGTCCGTAGGTGACGACGACGACGAGATGGTCGGACGGAGGGACGACGGTCCGTTGGACGGCGAACTGGGGACGGACGACCGTGGGCCCAAGTCGCCCATCGGTCCGCGGTCCAGAAGGGACAAGGGGAGCCCATGAGCTCCCGGAGGGGGGTCCCTCGGGGCCGCGGGGGGCGGAAGGGCCCCGTACGGGAACCGATAGTCGAAGCCCGCGAACGGGAAGGCGGCCGAAACTACCGACGCCGGATAGGACGCAATCTTGAGGCCTTGGGTCTCAGCGCTCGGTGAGCGGGCGGCGATGATCACTGTCTGGTCGGGAATCCAGGGGTGGCGTCAGAACGTCGAACTCCGGGGTGAGTCACTCGGGCGAGGAGGGCTGGTGCTCGCGTCGCTCCGGACCGCGTGCGGGTCGTCGAGTGACGCTGACGGACAAAAGGTGCGGTGGGGCCGTGGCGGCGACGCGAGGGCGGAGCGGCCGAGAGTCGACGTGGTCGCATCCGTCCGGCGTGTGCTGCTGCCGGCAAGTGGGGCCGTTGGAGGGGGGGGACATGCGGCGGCGGCGCCCGCACCGAATGAGCATCGGGAGAGGAGGGCTTCGTGTGCGGGGCGCGTGTCGGCGCCCGAAAAGACGGAGCGCGGCACAAAACAAACGCGCGGCAAAAGATCCTCTTTCCCACTCCCGCAGATTGATTCTGGTCCCGAGCGTCGCTTTGTTATTGGCCTGTTCTGCAAGCCGAATCCGGGCGCCCCGTGACGTCATCGGGTCGGCGGGGCCAATCATGTCGAGCGGCTCAAAGGGCGGGATTGAAGGCACCGCCACACAATGCCATTGGGTTCCGGGGGGAGAGTATAAGAAGAAGCTGGAACAAGAAAACGCGCCGAGGCGACGCGCGCTGCGCCGCCGACGCCGCTACTGACGCGAGCCACGGGAGGAACGAAAGACCGCGCGCTGGCGGACGCGTCGGAGGAACGCCGCTCCGCGCGGGCCCACGTGCCTTCGTTTTGGCGCCATTTTTCGAATTCACATTGACTCGACTCGGTTTCGGGTGAGATGGAAAACAAAAATCGTGAACTCCCTGCCTAAATTTTTGATCCTATAATGCGAACGGCTGACAAATTTTGCTTCTATCTTTATAAACCTACGCACGTCATCATAGGAAGACCACGTTGAGGGTGGCAGCTCACGGCTTGGACCCCTTTGTCGCCACTCCTTTCGTGAGAAACATTGGGATGTAAACGGTTGCCGCGACAACCTTAAGACTCCCACGCCCCATTTTATACATGTCTTTTTTTCTTCCACAAGAACTTGATTGAGGAAAGGACTCCAAAAAGCTTCTCAGTTCTGCAGAGAACAGCTGTGGGTAAGGAACATCAACGCTCAGCTTATTTCTAGGATTGCGACCTGGTTCTCCCGTTGGAGAAATAGGCGGTTGTCCTCCCTTCGCGTAAACACTCTCCTACACTCCGGGCATGTCGGCATGATCACACTAAATGGTCATTCTTATACTGTCGAGCGTCACCCAATGGTGACAGTTGAGTATGTTCATGATCAAGTTGCTGTATACTAAAGACTTCTCCAGTTGACGAGGCGCAATCTTCAGTATCGCGGACGGTCATATTTTCTCCGCCCGTCGCGACAAAACGCAGCCTTTCACTTTTGGACCTTCATGCAGAATACAGGTCGCTGCTAGACTAGCCGTTATTCCGCGCAGCTCTCAGTCGTGCGGACATAATTTTTACGCACACTGTGTGTCCATGAATATTTACGCAACGATGAAATATCGAATTAGCGAGATGGAACCTGGCATGCCAGGCCAGTTTATTACCAGACTCGTCCAAAAAGTAAATACCGTCTTAAAATGAGATTTGTTTAATAAATACTACATTGTTCGTGAATTCTTTTATTTTCAATGAATTCTGCATATCTTAACCTATAGCTCTATGTAATGTAAACTTGTTAATTGCCATATTGTGGCCCCATGTATTTGGATACCGTCCAAGTCTGCCGATTGTGCCAACATCTATGACCTCCACCGTGAAAACAGTCCTTACTACTGAAGTTTTTTGTAGTATAGCTCTCGAAGTAATGAGGATTTCTAATCTTCGGGGACACACATGTGTTGCAAGATCAGAAGTTGTAAATTGCCCGCTCTTCAGGACTTTTTTGTTCACTTCCCTCACCAAATCGTAATGCGTCATAACCGCCCTGTTGACATAAAACAAAAAATTGAGACTGTTTCTAGATATTTATACTTCGCTCATTGCGTTCAGTCAGCAAATTTTGTCTATGGATTGTCTTTTGTCTGAATGGTCCAACATTTGTCGCATTCCAAAATTTTATGACAGGACGAACTAGTCGGTAGACCGTTCTATTGACTTAAAAAAATATTATAGCAAAGCATAAAGTGCAAAAATAATCACATTCTGTCAAATTTACAATAGGAGAAGAGAAGGTTTATTTAGAAAGACAAAGAGGTCACTCTACGCAGTTTGCATTAACCGGTTTCTCTGTGCTGGGGAGGGGGAATAGGGGATACCAAAGAAGGGCAAGAAGATGAAATTAATAAAAACACATCAAAATAACGAGGAGCTTCATATTTGCTCATTAAAGGCGACACATAAGTTGGGTATCACGTAAGAAACGTATATTTGGTCGCATCAGTCAGCTCTTCTGAGCTCTCCCATGCTCCTAAGGCCTTCTGGAGATGAGAATGGCCGGGAGTCCAGGTGGGAGAGTTCTTCGATTAGGACCTCTTTTTTCACGTCATAATTTGGGCACTTGCATAACAAGTAGTCCAGTGATTCCACTTCTTCACATATCAAGCACTTTGCAGATGGTCTTTTCCCAATACAGTGGAAATATTTAAGTAAATGAAACGCTCAGCCTGAAATTTACAATAGGGTTTAACTAATAGATGAGGGAAACCATTCTGCATATGCGCGACTTAAAAGTTAATATATTCTCTCGCGAGAGTTTTTCCCAGACGATACCCACTTTCTAAGTAAGCCTGTAAGTTTTATCAATGTAAATATGAGCGCGTACTGCATCTTCGAAATGGGCAAATTCGCTCTTCATTCGAGAAAATCTTTTGGTTCATGTCTGTAAACGGGCAATGCTATAATCTCACACCTTCTCTCCCGTTCCCTTTCAAACGCGTATGTGCGTTCGTCTTCCAACAGAACGCATTGTAAACAAATCACCGCGACCTACGGAAGAAATTCAGCGTATGGAAATGCCGGATATACGCTTCACCCAAAAATAAAGTATCAAAGGTGACACTGAGTAATAATGTTTTACGCGCTCACGTCATGCCTAGTGTCAGATCGCTTGCAAAATCAAATTCCCCGAAAAAAAACAAAAAAAAAAATTCTGACACTATAGCTTTAGTCCCGACCGAGGTGCCCGCAGTTGGACGCAGGTTTATTGCAGAGAAGGCGCCATGGGGGGGGGGGGGGGGGGGGGGGGGGGGGGCAATTGATATTTCTGTTGCACGTCCAAAGATCCGGGGATGGTCGAAGTTAATCCTCAGTCCTCCGCCGGAGAGACCGACACGCCTTCCGTCACCTTCCGTCACCTGGATCTGGGGCACACACCTACCGACCCGGGAACTTCACTAAGTGTCCGGCCCTTGTGGTTACGCCGATGCTCGTCATCTGGTGTGGCTCTGCTGTGGAACCAAGACCACCCGTGAAAAGATAATCAGCAAGGCCGACTAAATTGTCACCCACATCTTAACTACACCTAATTGGTAATGACGACAAATACTGTAAGTCGCTCTTGCAGTTCCTGCACCAACGCTGGACTGCACTCTTTTTTTTTTTTTAACTTTTCTATATTATGCTGTGTACAAACTACAAAAAATACTTTAAAAATGCTTAAATTTGGTTACTTTTATCCTTACTCGTTCGCAGATTGTTATACCCACCAACAAGCGAACCGATTTTAAACTTTGTTTGCATGCCATTCCTCTCGGAGACACTGTCGTTGTTAGCTGTCTTACCTCGGGAACCAGACATGTACGTAACGTATTACAAGTAAGGAGTTGCTTCTACCTAGTTACTATTTTCGGTAACGAGTAACACATTTACTTACTTAAAAAAAAAGAACGAGTAGCGTATTTAGTTCATTTTAAGGCCAAGTAACGGGTAACGGTATCTCGTTACTTTTGAGGAGTAACGGTACGCTGCTTAAACGGCCTTGTTTTTATTTTAACCTGATTATGAGTGCATTGCGAGAACGGTAGGATGGCAACACGAGAAGCAACTAAACAGTATGACAGTACAGCAACGTATATCTCTGGACACGTCATTCGTACAGTTACCACTGATGTGTGCAGCGATAAACGTTGTTGTACTGAACTCTGCAGCTGGGAATGTCCTTCACCCAGCGAACGCAATAATGTTCGTTGGTTGAACCTTCTAGAACCGGGTACGGACCGAATAGAAACCTGGAGGTTTCGAACACTTCCTGAAGCACCGTTCCTTCGAGCGCGTTGGTAGAGCGACTGTTCAGCGTGGCCGGAGATGTAATTTCAAGGAAGCGGGGAAACATAACTGATGAAAACTTTGAGAGCCAGCTGCTACTTAAGTGCAACGACTACTAACAAGAAAACTATAAATCATGAAATAAAAACAGTTGTGTGTTTGGTCGTCAAAGTAACGTGAAAAGCAACTCGCTACTGCTGAGGTAACTCACGTGTTCCTTTTGAGAGTCGGTAACGAGTAACGTATTTAGTTCCTTTCTGAGCGAGTAACGAGTAACGGTTTTTAGTTACTTTTTTTTGGTAACGTGTACATGTCTGCTCGGGACATCCCGAAACCTGCAGGAAACATCGGTATCGTGCGTAACGAAACCGTGACTCGCGACTGGTTACATGATGTGTTCGGAGCGTTACCCATTCGGGCTGCGGAGGAGAATTACGGTAAGGCGTACACATTCGCGGAAGAAAACAGGTCGGACCAAGTGGTTGTTGTTTGGGCTTGAACCTTCGGCGCTGGCACGCAGTGGCATTCGTCTCTTTGAAAGCACACAGCTAGGGCCCAACGGACTGAGCCAGTGCCTCCTAGAAGACGTACACTGTGCATACGCTTTTATACTGTGA